ATAATCGTCTTGCAGAGCTCAGAGTTAAGAGAAAATTCTGTATTGAAATACTATATAATACTAGCTGACTCAGCAATTTTCGTACCGCCATAAAAATAGGGGCAGGTAGTAGAAGAGAATATTTAGGGTTGTATGTATTTTTAATACCACATTATAAAAAAATAAATATTGTTAAAAAAATAGGGTTGTATAACATAGTGTTCTATCAAGTTCCTGGGCTGACATTCCTCCTAACCCATATGAGAACACTACGTTACAATACCCAATAGTTTGAATAGATAGCCGATTCTCAGACCTACGGAATATGCATATAAAATTTCATAAAAATCGGTCAGGCCGTTTCGGAGGAGTATGGTTACTAACATTGTGACACGAGAATTTTATATAAGTACTAGCTGACCCAGCGAACTTCGTACCGCCCTAAAAAAATAGGGGTTGTCCAGCGGACAAAATTGTGAATCTAAACCATTCTCAGATCCCCTTGAACACACACAATAAATTTCATCAAAATCGGTCCAGTCGTTTAAGAGAAGTTCAGTGACATACACACTCACCGAAGAATTATATATATAAAGATAAGATTTATCCATCAATATTCGGGGGTTAAAATCATAACCTCAGGTGTGTCACAGTTAGATTAGAACCTCTTTGACGTAAGAGCATAGATTATTATATAGAAACATTGTATTTTAGCAATGGACGACGATTTTCAATAGTCTATGTCATAAAACCCATGCGCCCTTATTAATAAACGAAAAAGAAGTTTGGATTTGTTACTCAATGTTTTGTCTCTGTTCATTGAATAACAAATGGCATTTCAATGACATGAACAAAACACGGCGTAACTAGTCTTACGTTATTCCTCGTTTATTAATGAGGGGGAAAGAACGCAGAAAATACTTAGCACCATTGTGCTAAGTGCTAAGTTGAGCACAAACCTTAGATAATCTCACAAATCTGTGATATACCCATGACACACCAAAGGCACAGTACAAATGTCAAACAGTACTGTGATTCGGCTCTATTTTTGAAATAAGTTCCTACAACCGCTCGCGTGATAAGTCTACTTACCTAACTGTAAGTATTTTATTTTATTTCATGTACCTACTAGACTGTTTTTATGGTTTTGTTATTTTGTTTTTGTGAAGTCAGTTTTTATTTTTTGAGTATGTATTAATTAAAATTAATTGCGGACCAGTATTTCTTGAGATTAGCGCATTCAGCCAAAAGAAGTGCATAAATACAAGCCTGAGAGCAAAAACTATAGTCTACAGCTGTACACCGAAGCGAAGCGAGGGCGGGCTACTAGTGTTCTATATATTTGTAGCCTTATGAGCAATTATTATGAAGTTTTGCATGGTGTTGGCACTATTTTATTGTTTTTGCTAAGTTATATATTTATTTTTATATGTGCAACTGCTTAACAATAAGCCGTTTTTCAGTATGGGCTGCCAGTACGCTAGCTTGATCGTCAAGTCAGCGTATACCATGAAAATGGTTATTATTTCCTAATCTAAAGACGAAGATGTTTTTATTTTTGCACTTACTAGGCACTTTTTAATAGCCTTAGAAACAACCTCGAGTTTGGTGTGGTTTACGCTAGCATTTCGGACACCATCAGTTATTGAAGAATCCGGTGATTCACCGGTGATCACCGGAGATTGCACAATAAACGGTGAATTCAATCGGTTCTCAAAATTCCGCTCCGGTGCAAACCTCTAGTCCCTAGCGCGTAGGATTCGCGTATCGACCGTTTGTATGAAGTTCAAAGTAGTACTGTAGATGTGTAGATATCAGTACTGTACTACAAGGTTATGAATTTAAACTGATCCCACCAATTTTGACAGAATAAATAGTATTGAAACACAGAGTTTACTCTTTCGTGCAAGTGGCCCTAAGTATTCTGTCCCAATAGTTAACGACAATCAAATCTTAAAGAACACGAAAAATGTCATGGGTCTGCGCTCTAATCAGCTGAGTCCACACGCGTCGCGTTTCGCGCGACGCATCCCGGGACAACCATGTTCGTCGAACTGCTGCGTCGAGCCGGTGGTCGCGACTTCGCACCGAGGTGTCGGCAAACAGCTGCCGCGGCGATAATTACCAACAAAGCTCGCGTGTTTGGCCACCGCCTTAGCGCGAGGCCCGCTCGTATGATGGTTCTGTGAAGTTTCACGTTATGTACGCGTTATCACAATAATTAATGACGTTTTAACCATTCGAAATGACAGTTTGAGCATGCGTTGAATGTTTTTATTGTAAAGTGTAGAGGAAAATTACGTAATTTTATTAATACCTGCATAATTATATTCAGTTTCAGTTATTAGGTTATTGATGTCTGAATTTAAAATACTACTAGCTTAGCTTAGAAAACTACAGTCGTGAACTGTAGTTTTCTGAGAATCCCACAGGACCCTAACATTTTTCTGGGATAAAAGTATCGTATGTCTCAGGTATATATATATATATATATATATATATATATATATTCAGGCTAAAAACTAGATGTGGCCAAATTCGTTCAATCGTTTTTGCGTGAATGAGTAAGAAACATAATTATAAATACTCAAATCATACAAACTTCCATATTGTTTAATATAAGTAAAATATTTTTAATCATTTTCATTCGGGCAACTGGCTAAACAAGATGTCTACACATAGGTACAATCAATTAAAAATAAATAAGTATAATTATGGGATTCTAAATAAAATCGTATTCCCAATGTCAATATTTTGAGTGAAGAACTACCCAACATTTACCCAATTTTCACCACTGATGTAGGTACGTACATGAAATGTATACATACGTTAATTCATATACATACCTACACTTGAATTGTCTAGTCATTTAAATTTTCTTAAAGCCTTTTATGTAAACAATTAATAAGCGCTCATAGTGGACGCACACTGTCACAAATTTGTCGCCTCGCGATGTCAGCGCGGGCGCAGTGCAAACACACTGATTGTGTTTATAGCCACTTAACGAGTGCCCGCTACAATTCCGATTACAACTCGAAAATATTTCTACTGGTTATTTGTTTTTAACGAGAGCTGCTACTTTGTAAATTGGTGCTTATTTTGTGCGTGTTTATAGTTGTATAATAACGTAGAAACTTCTCCATTCATGTTATGCGTAACATAAAACAATCTTATTAAAATTAATCTAAAAATTTGTATAAAATTAAGTCCTTTGTTTTCTTACTAATTTAACTGAAGCGATCGAGATACAATAGCTTTTTTTACTGCTCCTGGGACCCCGATCGATCTCCAAAATGATTGATTTTGAGATTTCGAACCCATGGTTATTTATCGCGTTTAACGTATGATCTTTTATTTTTTATTAAATACTATGTATAATATATGAAATGAAACTAAAATCTTGATTGCGAAAGATTAAAAAAAACATTACATTATTTAAGCTTGACACTTGAATTACAGCTATTGTTTAAAACCGACTAAAAACGTGAATTCATTTTTTTTAAAGCAGTAATAGAAACAGTAATTCTGTGTAGAAATCTGGGTAATTGTTATAAGTAGGTACGATTCATGTAATACAGAATTAGAGACCACAGATAAGATTGTTACCACTGTGGTACGAAATCCGAAAAAATGCTTTAAATATCAAAATCATGAAGTTCATTTTCATGTCAAATTTCTATTTGTAAACAATAGTTCTTTTTTTTCAGATGACAAAAGCAACAGACGACCACGTAGAGTCGGGCCTGAACGGAAACCGCGACAAGCTTACAGCGCGAAGCAACTGGAAAGGTTAGAGGCTGAGTTCAAACTGGACAAGTACCTAAGCGTGTCAAAAAGAATGGAGTTATCAAAAGCGCTAGGTTTAACCGAAGTGCAGATCAAAACATGGTTTCAAAACAGACGAACGAAATGGAAGAAACAGTTAACTTCTAGGTTGAAAATTGCTCAACGACAAGGACTGTTCCCCGGCCAAATCTTCGGACACAGCCCACAGGCGTACTCACTTCTGAACCCATATGGCTATGCCCCTTTGAGCTGCGTCTTCACGCCAGTTTCGTTGCCATCTACACAACCCCAATAAACGAGTGTTAAAATAATATAATGATAAGAGTTTGAAAGACTACAAATATTAAAACATTATGTTAAAATTTATCGAAATCAATGTTTTTCAAGCGCAAATGTATAAAAGCAAATTTGTATAGTCTAATCGCCGTGCCACTTCTGCTAAAAAATAGATTTATTAAATCGTCTTATTGTTCTGCAAACTACAGCCACATTACATGTTTCCACATTATCATGATTTTTCAATTTGTTTAAAATTGTTGTGTTGCAATGAAAATAAAAACAATTATATTTTTTTATGTTATAATAACAAAAAGGTGTTGTAAAAAGCGCACAGTCAGCATCCGCAAGCCGATTAATTGACCTAACACTACTTTACTACTATATGTAATATTGCAGTTGCGCCTTGTTCGTTATTTGAAACTAGGCAAATAGCGTTACAATTACCTACCATTACGTTTGGGTGTAACTGTGACTTTGACACATTTTCGTAACTAGTGCTAATTCATTCAGAATAGTTTAATAGTCGAGACACTCGACAACACTAAATATACGATGATTTCATCACACATACTTATTGCCGTAACTTGCAATAATTATGTGTTAACTTTTTTAATGACAGTGCGTAAAATACACAGACAACGCATGCCTAATGTGAAGTCCAAATCTCTACTTCTTCGACAAATATTTGATTAAGCTTCCATCGAAATAAATGTAAAACTATTTAAAAAATATAATATATTATAATATTGTACATTGAATGTCTGTAGAACTTTTAGTGGTAGTCAGTGAAGTCAATCTTGAGGAGCTAGACGATGCAAGTGGTTCGCGCATTCGGCCTGCGATCGTGAAAGTTAAGCAGCTTTTGCAATAGTCGGTCACTGGATGGGTGACCAAAAACTTGTTATCTCGAGCTTTTCCGTGCTTCGGAAGGCACGTTAAGCCGTTGTTCCCGGCTGCATCTGCAGTCGTTAGCACCCACAAATCCGCACTGGGTCACGGGACGGTCCAGTCTCCCTTTTCCAGCCAACCATAGGGAAAACCTAATTATGCCCCTGCAGTGGGAACACTAATAGGCTGATGATGATGAGGTCAATGTTGATATTAAGCGTGAGATAAAAAAATATTTAATCATTTTGATTCTGATTTATTATTAGGTATGAAATATTATTTAAGTAATAAATATTGTAAATAACGTTAGAGGTACGTACACATAACATATACGTCCATATCTTGATAACTTGCGGTAAATAATGTCCAATAAATAATATACATATTAAAATGTGTAATTTACTCACCTACATATGTATTTCAATTTATAGAGTTGTTTCACGAAATGAAAAGTACAAACCAGATAAACAATAGTACCATTAGATTTTTTTACCAAAATTTTGGCATTCAATATGTCACTTTATCCTTGTCATGCTACCAAACCTAGAGAATTGCTAAATAATTACATCTTCATCTTTATGCAATTTTTACAAAAATATGAATTGAGATACATAAAAATTACGTTACTAGTTGCTAGCAGTTAGTCGGCGAGTAGATGAGATCGCAGTTCGCGCCTCCAAGACCCAGCGCTGCGGCTTTCAAAGCACCCAGGGAACCTCCACGAGCCCACGCCACACCTGCACTGTGGACAATCATGTTAATATTATATTTTTAATCACTTACCTATAGGTAGACCTACTGCTTAACTGAGTCCTCGCCTGCGGGGTAAAGGGTGTGGGGAAGACGAAAACGGGGACCTTGAGTCGCGAGGCGGATTCTGCTTGTTGGGTACTTGTTTACTACACGTGCGGGATTATTTTTTCTTATAAAAGTATAGGAATTACGGTTGATTGACTAATATTTTGTGTTTTTTGTACGTGGTGTGTGTTTTACTAATTCTGGTAAGTGTTTTGTGCTTGTTCAGTCCCAGAAGATAAAGTTTCATGTATGTTCTTTTCGGGCCCCCATATGGCCACAAGCTTTAGCTGCCCAGAGCACAGTAGGCAAAAATGAATAAAGTTAGTCATGGCAGAAGAAAATATCCCATATTCCGAAGCATCCCTCCGATTCCGCCCTATTCGTCGCACCTTTGCTGATACATTAAGATCAGCCTCACCTCACTCTATGACCTCCTCCCCAATGTCCCCTTCTCAGAAGCAGTTGGATCCACGCCTATCACAAACTATAACGTCCCCTAACCGCCCATCTGTATCATCATACAAAAAAACTTTACACATTCCACGCTCTCCGAAACCAACTATGGGTAATGGCTATGATACTGAAGCCCATAGAAATATCACTAGCACACCTAAATCCAGCCAACATAATGGCTGTGCTCTCAATGCATCTGCAGAAGCAGACTATGAAGAGTCTGCCAACGACAACTTTGCCGATCTATTAATGAAACTCCTTCTCAACTGTTTAACCCGCTTTAACGATATCCTACCGTACAATGGCTCAGAAATACTGTACCGATTTCTATATACAACCCTTAATAATGGACCTAAAAATTCTCCAGTGGAACAGTAGAAGTATACAGAATAAAAAATTTGAATTAACTAATCTAGATAATCTTTACAAAATACATGTTTTTGCTATTGCAGAAACATGGCTTAAAAAAAGTTGTAGGTTTTCATTGGCAGGCTTTACATGCTTGCGAGATGATGGTCCTGATGGTTATCAGGGCTGCGCACTTCTTGTAAACCGCTCTCTTACCTATGTCTCTATCCCCATACCTCAACACTCCGGCTTCTATATTACAGGTGCAAGCATCACTGGTATTAATATTTCTGTGTATATCCCTCACCCCTCTACTAGTATTCTAGACTCCTTAGAGAATATCCTCTCCTCTTTCCCGGGCCCTACTATACTTCTAGGAGACTTTAACATCCATCATACCTTATGGGGATCCTCTTTATGCGACTCACTGTCTTCCCAATTCCTAGCCTTAATGGATAACGTCAATCTTTGCCTTCTAAATGATGGCTCCCCTACTCGCCGCACCTCTCCTCTCCAAAACCCTAGCGCCGTCGACGTTTCCCTTGTATCCCCTTCCCTCTCAACAAGTGCTATCTGGCGCGTCTTAGCGTGCTCTCATGGAAGTGATCACCTTCCAATCCTCATTTCCTTCACTCATCAGGTCCAAATATCTTCTGATCCCTACCCTCCTCTATGTAAATTTAAACTTGAAAAAGCAGATTGGCCCCGATTCCGCGATATACTGGACTCAAAATTAGAAAGATTGCCTCCGCTAGATAGTTCAAATTTTAATCACCTTTACAATGAATTTGTTTCTTCCTTGCTCTCCGCTGCAGAATTATCAATCCCTCTGAAAAAAAAACACCTGGCCGGAATAGATCCTCTCCACCTTGGTGGGACTCTGATTGTACTCAGGCTATTAGACAACGCAACGAAGCAGAGCAGACATATCTTAATGATTTAAGCCTTGACAACTACCTAAACTTCCAAAGAGTTAAAGCTTGTTCCAAAAAAATTCTCAGAAGTAAAAAACGTAAAGGGTGGACATCATTTTGCGAAAGCATATCTCCACAAGCACCACTATCATTAATGTGGAAAAAAATAAAAAAATTTAGAGGGTCATTTTCGGATAACCCGCCACCTTCAAAAGATTCTCCTGCTTGGATTGAGGAATTCATGGATAGACTGGCACCTCCATTTGTCCCAGATAAAGATTTTTATGAAAACAATGTCCCCCTATCTCACTCAATATCTTTGCACAATCATATCAATGACCCTTTTTCCATTAATGAATTATCTTCAGTTCTCACTCATTTACGTGACTCCTCGCCAGGGGTAGACGGGATACCCTACTCATTTATTAAAAAAATGTCCGATAACTCTAAAGTATTTTTTCTGGTGCTCCTTAACAAAATTTATGATTCAGGCATAATTCCTGACTCCTGGAAGCACCAAATAATTATCCCAATTTTAAAACCAAATAAAAATCCTAACGATCCGCTTTCTTATAGACCTATTGCCCTATCCTCGGTGCTAGCTAAAATCATGGAGCTACTCATTAAAAATAGACTCGAATGGATACTCGAACATAATAATATGTTAGGAAAAACACAGTACGGATTCCGGAAGGGCATGGGTACCATGGACAATCTTAGTATATTCATTTCGGATGCTCGCCTCGCCTTCTCTAGAAAGCAAGATATGGTCGGTGTATTTCTTGATGTCACATCAGCCTATTACTCTGTACTTCTTCCGCTACTCAGGCAGAAAATGCATCAGCTGAGTCTTCCCGTGAAGATGATCAATGTCATATTTAACATGCTTTCTGCACGCTCCATCTCAGTTCACCTCCAGGGTTGTCTTCTTCCACCTAGAATGGTTTGGAGAGGGCTCCCTCAAGGATCAGTCCTAAGCCCCACCCTTTATAACTTCTATACAGCCGACCTTGAAAAATGTGTTGAGAGCTTCTGTGACATCGTGCAATATGCCGACGATATAGCTCTATATTCTTCATCAGACACTGTTCAAGACTGCTCTATTCAACTAAATACAGCTCTCAGGTATCTCAATGAGTGGTTAACTGAACATGGTTTATCCTTAGCCCCATCCAAAAGTACAGTACTAGTTTTTTCTCGAAAAAGAACAATTTCCTACGCCCCTATTGTCTTGGGCGAGGAAGAATTGCCATGCACAGACGAAACTAAATTTTTAGGCCTTATATTAGATTATCGTTTGTCTGGTGCCTCTCACCTCAATTATATCAATAATAAATGTGAGAAAAGCATTAATGTCCTCAGAGCCCTCTCAGGTGTCTGGTGGGGTTCTCATCCATACTGCCAAAAACTTCTGTACAACGCAATAGTTCGAAGCTATTTCGATTACGGTACTTTCTTACTCGAACCCTGTAATAAGACTTCCCTTTCTTCCTTGGACAAAATACAGTCTAGGTGTCTCCGCATAATCACAGGTGCAATGAGATCTTCTCCGACAAATGCCCTACAGGTAGAAACTGGGGATCCTCCTCTTAATATCCGTAGACAATTATTGTCAGATCGATACCTGTTTAAAATAGCTGAAAACTCTAACCACCCACTGCTTTCTCGACTTTGTCAGCTTTCCAATCTCATTACTAATTCTAAATACTGGATACATAAAACCACGCCCCGCTTAGCTAACAGTTACGAAAAATTGGTCAATGGTCCCCCTATGGCACAATTTCCCGGAAACCCAACATTTAATGTAAATTATGAGACACTAATATTCGAACAAAACGAACCTGGCGCCGACAGAATTTTTAACAAAACTATCGCAGAAGAATGGGCTGACTGGACCCCGATTTTTACCGACGCCTCTAAAACCACCAATGGAGAAGCTGTAGGTGCTGCTGTTTGGATCCCTCGCTTTCAAATAATTTTAAGCTTTAAATGCCGCCCAGAACTGTCCTCCTTTTCGGGAGGAGCCATTGCTTTATATGAAGCTATTAAATATATTGAAGCCCATTCTGAAAAACTTAACAAATCAATAGTTTTCACAGACTCCCGAAGTGTTTTGGATGATATTTTAAAATTCCCTTTACGTGCCAGGCAAAATTTTTATATAACTCTAAAAATCCGAGAACTTTTGTTTAACTGCCGTTCTCAAAATATAAATGTGGCCCTCTCATGGATCCCTGGTCATTCTGGCATTATAGGTAACGAAAAGGCAGACAGCCTTGCAAAAGAGGCTGTAACGATGGGTTGCCCAACCTATGATAAATGCTTTGCCCAAGATCTAAGAAGCAAAGCTAAAGCCGAATCATATCGCGAATGGTCAGCACACTGGGACTACTCCTCACAGTTCAAAGGGAAATATTATAGAAGTCTGCAGCCTTTTCTTCCCTCTAAGCCGTGGTTTTTTAAATACCGCTTCTTGGATAAAATCTGCACTTCTACCATTATTCGCTTACGTCTTGGTCACATATGCTCCCCCGTCTTCTTAAAGAAAATTAGGGTTAGGAAACATTCGTTATGCGAATGTGGTCTTGACGAAGGAAACGTCGATCACATATTTTTCAAGTGCCTAAAAAATACCATCTCTCTTTATGATATACTGCCTAAAAATATCGCCCGCCCTGTGAATGTAAACCACTTACTAACCATGGTGGACTCTCCCTTCATCCAAGTCCTTGCCAAATATATACACACCAATAAAATGAAATTGTAACTTTTAAAATCCCATTTATTACTAACGCTTTTATCTGTAACTGTTGTGTTTGTCATTGTGTCGTCTATAACCTTTTTATATAACCCTTTTAGGTCACTCAACCGGCCAATAGTGGAAGATGCGTAAAACTGCAAAAAAAAACTGATCATCTGTAGTACTCAACCCTGACATTGGCAGAATTGTCTAAGGAGTCAACAGCCAGCCTTTACAAAAAATAGAATAGAATAGAGTCGCGAGGCAGGCGGCAGGCAGATTCTTGCCAAAATTACAAGTGCCCGCCGCCCGCACCTCTCACGGTCCCCGTTCTCGCCCTGCCCCACACTCTGTACCCCGCAGCCGAGGTCTCAGTTAAGCGGTTTACCTATAGTAGATGCAGTCAAAAGCTTATCTATCTTTAAAAACTCTATTCAGAAAGAATTCTCACAACTTAACGCAGCTAATAAATACTGCATTCCATTTCTAACTCGTTTGACATCTATTTACTATATACATGTTTTTGACAAGCAATAGGTAAATAACCGATTTCCGGATTTCCCAATTTAATTGAAACGCCCCTTTGCAGAAGCAAACTCTACCTTAAAGAAGAATGGTAGATAGATAACGCAGTGAAATAACTTTGTAGTTTCTGTCGGTGGACTTCTGTAAGGCTATTAATGTGGTGTTTAAGTTCTTAGTCTTTCGGCCGCGAAAAAAACTATTGACGAGAGACGTCAATAATTTTAAGTGTAATTAATTAATTATATTCGATGATGTCACTTTCTTTCTGATTAAATTAATTGTCGTCTCTGAGTAAAAATTAACATCATAAGAGATAAATAGCTTAATGGTTCGTATGGAGCTATACTTACTGCCACACTGGCAGCAAAAAGCGGCCGTTGTCTGTGAGTCCCCTGGCTCGTTTGTTGCCGATACACAGCACTCGGTACAAACACTGCTTTGAGAGCGGTTTCAAAGCGATGAGAGCGTAACGTGCGAGCGAATTCATCGTTGAAATAGAGCTCCGGTTAGACTCCGCCTCCCGTTTAAATCGAAACACATCGTCCACATTTAAGCTGTCTCCGTTGTCTACCATTTGCATGACTTGGGCTTGCTGTGGGTGCTGAGGAATATAGAAGGTTTTTTTATTTATTCCTGAAGTTAAAATGCAACGAAAAAATGTGCCTATGCGCGAGAAGTAGGTACCTAAGTAGTTATATATTTGGAACAAGAAACTATATTATGTTTGGCACATTCGGTTCACGATTATGGCAATTAAACACTATCAAAATGATCAATCACAGGATTGGTGACCAAAATTTTATTGTCTCAAGCTCCTCCGGTATTGGGAATGCACGTTAAGCCATTGGTCCCAGTTGCATTTGGATTTTTGGATTCGTTAGCACCTTCCATCACTATTCCCGCTTGGTATGTCATAAGAGCCCTATTCCAACGGGCCCTATTCCATCAAAAGGAAAGACCCCAGCAATTGGGTCATTATAATAATAGACTGAAGATGATCATGAATGAAAATTCAAGTTTAGTCTACTTACTACGGAGCCTATAAATGATCTGAAAGGTTAGGAAGAATGAAAAACATTCAAAAAATGTCTTATTAGATGATGATGATGATATACCAACCATAGTTATACACATGAGCACCTGCAACACGAACATTCCAAACGATAAAAATGCTATCCCAGTGAGGGATATGTCGAAGAGCTCCGAAATGCCCAGACCTTGTGGATCTTTCTCGACTACGTACTGCTCGTGTTCTTGTGAAGTTGGGTGTTGGAACAAAGGTGGTGGTGGAGGCGGCATGGAGTATTCATAGCCACCACCTGAAAGTGTAAGGATAATCTGTTTATGAATGTGAAAGCAGCGAAAAACTTGACAGCAGAACAGTGAAGCTTGGTTGTGATTGCAAAGGCGAATGCTTCTTTCATTAAATACTTCTAGGTTATTACCAATTGGTATTTTTTGCTGCCGTTGTTCCTGTTGCACATATGCAATGCACCTACTAATCCCGGGTGGTATGTCATAAGGAGAAAGGGCCAACGAATATTTTTTATACGAAGTGCAACAAATTACCCCACTCTAATTGATGTTAACAATATACATATTTAAAAAAAACGTTACAGTTGACATTACATTAACAAATTCATCTGTTTAATATTTTTGAAGTGAAAACTTCTTTAGTATCGTTATGACTTGAGATTCGATGAAGCGGAAGTTGAGAATTTGACAGAAGATAGGTATTCGTAATTTTATAATTTACTTTATAAGACAGAGACATACACATAGCCGAACGCAATCGGTCTCTTGAGGTCAAGGCAAGTGGTAGGTGGCTCGAATTTCATTTTTTTTTTTATAAATAAATATTTCGAAAAAAACCTAACATAAAAAAAGATAACAAAAGATATAAACATGTACATATACAAACATAAAGTTGTGTGTCTTCTTTAGTACAATAAAAAAAATATGGCTTAATTTTTTAGCAGTACCTATTAGGTTTTATCCTAAAATGCGCCATCTAGTTTTAGTTGGCATTATTAACTGTCAAACCGGTTTATGTTTATATAATTTTGTCGATAGAAAACTGGGGAGTGTCTATTAAAAACCAAAAAAGAAAAACAATTTAAATTAAGGCGCGATGTTTATCTATTATGTATTGGTTAACACTAAATTTACTGTTTGTGTTTATGTCAACTAGATGGCGCTAACATACACAGTAAATAAATAAAATTGTTTTAGTAGCAAACCTGAATAGTTAAGTATTTAACGTTTGGTAGGTACTTACTGAAGTTGTTGATCAAAACACAGCTCTGGTTTTTTAATCAATAATGCATAAATATTTCAAAAAAACCCTAAGATAAAGAAAAAACCTATATAGAAGATATAACAAACGTGACTGAGTTTACAACGCCCAGCCTAAGTCATTGGGCGTAGAGAGTTGAATTTTAACTCAGTTATTGTCTTTAAGACATACCCTGTAGGCGATTCTGTAAAATAAAATCACACATCCGATTTCGGTAGCTGCCATTTTAAACATTAGTTTGATATGCATTACGCCATTACACGGCAAAATGTCGCTATATCTGTAGAAACAGCCAGTATTAGATATTTGACATTTGTCAGCAATCCAAATAAATGAGATATATGAGTAAGTGAGATTGCACCTTACAGAATACCTATGCCGGTCATGAAGGACTTTTACGTGGTAACATTTTTGTAGGTTTCACTTTTCTCGCATGTGAACAGCACATTTCCGTTTCTTTACTTACTGTATTTAGACACTTCAGGATAAACATCTTGTTCAGCATCCCCTGGCTCGTATACCTGATATCTTTCACGCGGTAACTGGATTGTATCGTTTCCTAAAATGGAAGAATTTATAGTTTCCGTACTGCCGGGCAACGACTGAAACTGGCGGTAATTTGCGTTCATTGCTGCGATTCTGCGAATATAAGAACACAACTTGGGTCAGAGACGTCTCTAACACGTTTAGCGCTCGTGTGCAATCATTAACCTAACGCCCTGTAGTAAGCACGCGGTCTAAATGTAATGTTGGCGAGTGACGCTCGCTCGGCGCCAACTGAGACCAGTGGGCAACGCATATCCTGCACCATAGGTTAAGTCGCCTCTGCTAGTTGTAAGTGCATGCGGTCTGCGATCTTGGAATTTAAGCAACTTTCAGAATGGTCGGTCATCAGAAGGGTGGCCAAAAATTGTTTATTGTCTCGATCTCCTCGGTGCTTCGACATTCGACATTTGGCGCCCCGAGTCATTTACGACTTTGCACCCCAGTATTTGTAAATCATATCAAGGTCATGGCCCTCTTGGCGAAAGGGTAAATACGCCCCCGTCCGAAAGTGTTAGGATGTCGATACGATAGTTCTTCCGGCTACTTACTTGTTGTTGTGTTGTGTTGTAGTCACATAGCTACATTAAGTGTTGCAAGACAAAGAAAAGAATACCTATTTACAACATTCGGTAAAACCACAAAATGTAAAATGAAGATCGTGGTTTTATTAATTAAGTTTTAGTTTTCTTCGGCGGGTACCTATACCTTAACTAGAAATAGCGTTGGTTAGTGGTAGAATTCATCTAACTTATATAGTGGCTTATCCTGGTGAACAGATATATTGCTTGCGCCTACTACCTACAGCAGTAGGGGCAGTTGGTTACAGTAAAAGCAACGATCTATGCAACTATATATGAGAGAAAGCAACGATCTATGCAACTATAGAAATGAGAAATCTGGATTTTTAAAATTGGAATAGCCTTTGTTATTGAAATGTTTCGGAACATTTGAGTGTTAGCTTCGTATAATCACGCTCGAGTGTTTACTTTGGGGCTAAGCTACTTGTTGTGCTTTGAATGTAAGAAATATTTATTCAATTATTTACGTACTTGTTTAACCATTCTTGGTAATTTGCGGAACCAATGTCATACAAGACGTTGTTTCTGAGATCCTGCGATCGCTTTGTCAGGGAATCATAAGGAACGCTCGGCTCCAAAGGTGTCCCAACTCGACTCTGAAATGTGTTTTTCCCCATTTCTTCCAATATTTGCTCTGCCACATAATTTCGGCAGTGGTATTCATTCATCATTTGTCTGAAAGAAAATAAATAAAATAAGCTCAGTTGCTAATTCATATTGAGTAAAAAAAATTGGAACCGAGTTACATACAAAACTTTAAGAAATAGACCGATATAAAAACTAGCAGTCTGACGCATTCTATAATTTTTATTTCTCTTCCAGTCCGCTTACCATGGGAGTTGAATTATGTATAGATAGAGATAAGTATTTGTTGTAATTAACGGTACTTATAAACATTATAAAGGTATTACTAGTACTTTAACTTGCTTTTCAGGTCAGTTTTCCAGTTATTGAAATTTATTTCATGTATCAAATGTCACCCGCTAGGTACATAGGTACTAGGTAGGTCTTTTTTTTACTTGAGACCAAAAAATTTTTCTAAGAACAAGAAAAACCTTCTGCGAAAAAATTATGAAGTAGTTAGTTACTTGCAGGCCGGAAAGGTGAGATTGGCAAGTGCGGCAGGTAAACTTAACAAACCTGGGCTCCACCGTCATTTAACATCATGTGAGTAGGAGTAATTTCTTCGGACCTATATTCAAAAATATATGAGGATAAATATCGCTTAGAAACCTTCCATTACCGCCCTCAACCTCCTACCCTGTGCAGCTCTGCACAAACATACAGCGTAGATTAGAAACTTCTCTTCAAATCTTTAAAGACAACTTCTTCTTCTTACCTTTGACGACCTCAGTGGCCGAGTGGTTTGTACGCCGGGTTTCATGGTGTCGCCGACTCGAGAGGTCCCGGGTTCGAATCCCGGTGGGGGCAAATGTTTCTGTGATGAATACGAGCATTTGTACTCCAGTCATGGATGTAAAATATTTATTTCTATATAAATATACTTATATATGTACAGTATATGTATTCTATCCGTTACCCTAGCATCACATAACACAAGCCTTACATTGCTTACTTTGGGGCTAGGCTAATTGGTGTCAATGTTGGAAATATTTATTTATTTACCTGTGAAAAGTCAGTGTAGACAACGCAGAGTCGATTGATCCATTCGCAATGGGAAGATTCATTGAATTTTCTTCGCCACTGGACAAATCTATTCCATCTTCATTTATTCTACTCTCGATACTTTCACTTGTTTTTTTCTTGCTTAAATCTCCGCTTATTAAAAACGATGTAGGCATCAGATCCGTACTTAAAATGTCATTGACATTCAAATCATTGTAGAACATTTTCGTAGAGTTTACGAAATGTAAAAAGAAAAATAAACACTGAATATTTATTTCCATCGTGTTGTGTACATTTGTCACTCAAGGAAAGTAAGTAAATGAGAAATGATAAATCTCTCGTTCACATCGTGTGCATAAGTTGAACGACGGTACATACAATTTGAAAGACGCGTTTACTCTGATTACGAAGCGGAAAATTCTTTAGAGATCGTGATCTTTAACTGTTATGTTAGATAGGCAACCACATAGGGTCGTAAACTATGCAACATCTGTTAATAAGAGTTCTTGCTTGAGTACAACGTAATAAAAAATTATAAAACTAAAGAATAAGAGAAACTAAAGAATAAGTTAAGAATAAGACTTAACTTACATATCAAATTGGAAGAAGTAGATTAAACAGTTGCAATTAAATAGTACAATGTATTTGCATGACAGCCTCCTAAACATTATTAAAAAAAAGGGAAAGGTTAGTCGACAAGTAGTTCGATCGGTTGGTAGATATAATTTCTAGTCACAGTTGCGAAACCTGTCCCTGTAATATGAGCAATACATTATATCACGTTTTTATCGCTTCTAACTGTCAAACTCCATAGTAATTTGAAATTAAGCGTGATATCAACTAAACGCGTTAAATATCATATCGCGGTGCTCATACTGGGGGGCTGGATGATACATTTGATTGGCAATCATTAGTTCGGTCGTCGAACTAGTGTGGATTTTTTTCCTGATTTGTTCTACCGTTAACTACTGACACTTTATTGTTCTCATTTGTTTGATTCGAACTTATTTTAATCGTGAAATAAAAAATAATAAAAGGATTAATAATCTCTCTATACTACACCCGTAGTATTCATAAAATCCATAAATATTTATAAAATCATTATTTTGACAAAAATACTAGGAGACCATACTTAACTAAGTGGTTCTGGTAATGAAAATGTAAAATGGTCTGGTAATGATAAATAAAAGAAAATAAGACGACGGTCGAACAAATGGAAACAATAAAATCCCAGTAGTTCGACGATAGAAGAAAGAAAAAAAATCTTACTAGTTCGACGATCAAACTAATGAATTGAACAAATGAGAGTGAAGGTTTGATTGTATGTTTGTTTATATGTATCACAATATAAAAAATTAACCTTAGATACAAAATCACATTTTATTTATTAAATACCGTACCTATCTCCAGCATTATATTGTAAAATATTAGATTATACTATACCTTTCACAAGAAAAGGTATAAAACATTGGGATTTATGTCGATCTTAAAATGATCCTCCACCCCTCGAAAATCATGTTTTTGCCACCTACTGCGCTTACACCCCACCGCGCGCTGTAAAGGATCCATTGTAATATTACTAATGTTCGGATGTCATCTCTGCGACGTATGACGTGAGAACAAACCATACTGCTAGCTATTAACAGATTTTGGTGCAAACAAGTAGGCTTGGCGTGTACCTACTTATTTAGATATAATTACATCTTTAAATTAATAATTTGACCACAGCTTAAGCAGATTAATATAGTAGACCTAGATAAAATTAAAGAAAACCGGCCAAGTGCGAGTCGGACTCGCGCAGCGAGGGTTCCGTACAAACTCAATTATACCTCTACGCATTCATGAGTAAAGAGGCAGTAACTTTAAAATTAAAAAAATATATATATGATGTGACTAAAAATTTACGGTTTTCGCATTTTTTTCTTTATCTGTAATATATGTCGTAATTTCGTACCTCTCAAGATTCTAAGTACCCTGTAGGTTTTGATTCCCGTACCAGGTTCAAAAAATTGCGGAGCGGCATAAACGGCTGTATCTTTTGACTGCTTTGGCCTAGAAGTTTGATTTTTTCACAGCTCCAAGGGACAGTAGACATGAGTATTAGATATGAATTTCAGTTTGATACCTATACGCGGTCTTGACAGACGGACGGACAACAAAGTGATCCTATAAGGGTTCCGTTTTTTCCTTTTAAGGTACGGAACCCTAAAAAAATCTAAAAAAGAAAATTATACATTCGGTCCTGAGAAACGGGCTCTTGACTGACTAACAGATAGACTGAAGGACAGCTAAGTGATCCTTTTCCATCATTTTCTTTTTTAGGTAAGTACGGAAACTTTCAAATTAACTTCTGATCGTTCTATCTCATGCGTAGACCTTACCCTTGCCGTTAAACCATGGCCTCTCTTATTATAAGTGCAGTTCAGTTGAATCACGACGAAATCAAGATGAAGCGGCAGAAAAGCGTGATGATATAACCATCACCTCAATGAGCAATCCCTAGGGCTGGATTAAGGGCAGGGCAGGCGGGACTGTGGCTCTCGGGCCCCCACAACGGAGATAAAAAATGGCCCGGCCTAGATTTAGGGACCTCCACTCCTTCATTGCCCCGGAGCCCTCACACCTTTAAATCCAGCTCTGACTACCTGCCTTCACCACTCCTCACCACCGTCACCCTCCAATAACGGAAAGACCCCACACCCTGTCCCCTGCATCTTCCGCCAAATTGTATCTCCTGCTGATAAGATGCCGAAACTGTCGAAAGAGAAGAAAAGCCGTCGCTGCTGCAAGAGAAGAAAATCATCTGCCGCCTTCAAGAAGATCCTAAAAAAGAGTCCTCCATCCCCAATATTACCCCCTACCCCATCGTATCCTATCCCCATTCTCTACATCCTTTCACCTCACTCAGGGGCCCTGAAAATCAGACCTTTTGACGCATACTATTAGATGCTTAAGTCTCTGAAGTATTAATTTTAATGGATTATTCATAATTGTATTGGAATATGGAATTAGTATTATTGTCTTTTTTTAATACAATTATGTTTATTTTATTAATTGTAATTTTAAGAACTACACTATTGCATTAGGATTATTCCTGTAAAAATAGCTGTACCTGTGTGTTTTCTAATAAATAAATAATTTAAGTGTAAAGTTATTTAAGAGTCATATTAATCGCACCTACTCACTGAGGGTACTGTTACGCGAATAATCGCGAATGGTTTTTTAAAAAAAATAATATTTTAATCACACTTAAAATTTATTTTAAGAACAATAGAAATATATAGATTTATCGGATAAAGACGTTAAAACGATCTTTAGGCAACCGCACTGAATGGAGGATGGACACGGACTGTCGGATGCTAACCGAGGAGACTAGGGCTTGAGTTCTATAGTGCTGACCAGACATAATGGTCAGTAGGAGCAGCAATATACCTAACATGTATCAGATATAACACCTCCCCCTTTAAGAGGAGACTTGGGGTTGACTCTAAGTCTCCGTTAGATTTTAGTTCTGAGAGGGGCAATAGGGCTGGTCATTTCTATTTCAGGATCGTCAGGGTCTTGTCTGTCTGTTTCTGATGCTTTAGGAGCAGATTGAGATAAGGGATTATTTAGATTAAATTTAAATTGAAAAGGACGGTTGCTGCTAGATCTGCAAATGATTTTCTTAACAATAAAATAAGCAATTATAAAAACGATAAGTATAAACAATAATATTATAAGAATGGAATAATGTGTCCCATATTTCACAATATGTGGATTTATAGGATGTTCAATAGATTTTAAATCGTCTAGAAGAGACTTAATTTTATTTTTGTTTTCAGAATTGAAATCATCCAAGTCTATGTCATGCAAATGAACAGGAGACACATTATTTACTACAACATTTAACTTATCTAAGTTACAACAAGTGTCGTTTATTAAATTAAAATCTGGTACGTGGTTAATGGGCGAAGTGATATTTAGAATATTATATTTAGGGACTAATGTAGTGCTTTTACAATATCCAGTACAATCTCTAGGGATACTAACAATACCTGTGCCTAAAATATTTGTTTCATACAATTCAGAATTACGACAATCTATCGAGATTTTGTTGGGTTCTGATTGTATAAAGATCCACTTGTTAATGGACAATGGTTTCCAAATGTCCAACTTTCCAACTATAATTTTAGATTCGCACTGTAACGGTTTTTCACTTATCACTTTTGCTAAAAGTTCACTTTCACATGTCATTTTTGCACCTGTAGAATACAGGTTTTCGATGTCACAAATAAAGTCTTCTGTGCTTATGGCTTTACAGATTTCCAGATTGTCGAAAGTACAATAGTGAGACTTGTCTTTGGTCATTGCAATATATTTATGATTAGGTATAATTAAACTAAACGAGTTTGGTTCTTTAGAGTTGTATGGTATAGGAAGAGCAATGGTATGGAATAATACATATTCTCTGGTGTTAACTAACGGCACTTGCAAAACAAATATAATCTTATTCTTAAAATAATAACAAACTAACTTAGAAATACTAAAAATAAGATACACAGAATTAATGTCTAATACAACAGGCAACTCAAAGTCGTTAGATAAATGTCTGTAGTTATCGGCAAGCTCGTGGTATAATTGATTTGGTGTTATGATTGCGGGGTGTAATATATTTTGACTGCTGAACAAGACAGCATTGGTTATGTCTTCCAACTGGAATGACAAGGTCAGTATTGATGTTTCTAGGATATTGAGTATTTCATTTACATCAGCGCGTATTTGCAGTCCATTAGTTATTTCAGAATTTTTTTTTATATTTACGGAAAGCTTGTCGATAGCTTCATTAAGGTTGGCTTCATTACTTCTTATTTTATGTAAAGTGTTATTATAATATGTTAAGGTGGAACTAGTGATCAAAATATTTTCTATCATAAGCGAAGCTAATTTCTTTTCGTTATTTTGTAATGATGTTATTGCTTCGTCATATTTTAAACCATCATCTTCGTCTAGGGAACCGAAAATCTGTTTTATGACTGTTCCTATACCTCCTATCCATGCACTACGTTTTGTTCTATTGTCTAACAGGTGAGAGATGGACGCATACTCTCTTCTCATTTCTTGAAATTGTGCGGCTAATGGTTGCAACGAGTTACGGCATTCTGCATCAATCTCTATAATCGGGGTTTGTTTACATAATTGCTTTGTAATTTCAAATATGGCTTCGATATTTTGTATATGTAGCTTAAAATGTGAGATGTCTACTGGTATTACAATTTTTAACTGTCCATTATTTATTCTAAGTTTTCCTAAGTAATCATAGTAGAGGCCTGAACTTGAGGTAATCGGCTGGATAAAATCTTGGTGAGATTGACTTCGAGTTGAACTGTAAATAATAATTTTAAGACTATTAAACAAAACTAAAGGTAAGTATTCTATTTTACTTAATATTCAATTTTTTTTTATAGGTTTTATGGGCAAGTAGTCGTGTAAACAAAACCAATATCTAAGGTAAGTATA